ACTGTTAGTGCAGATCACTGGTTCGCCACGTTAGGGTAATGCTTATCTTTTGTGTGGATATGGTATTGAAGGTGTGGTATGAAAGGTTATTTACTTTGCAAGGCACCTTCGCTGAAATTGCCCACTCCCGAAACGCAATTTCCAAAGTGGTTGAGAGTATGACCGCCACGCACTCTGCACGATGCGAAACCTCAATCCTTGAGCTCCATCCACGACCTCTTGGAGCTATTACCGTGATCATTGTGCAATTTTTTATTTCTCTCAAAACGCAATTAACCCATGGTCTAATTCGTAATCACGTCACCCTGACATGGAGAAGGTACGTATGACCACAATTTTTTTCCGATCGCGACGCACAGAGCGCGTGTTGCCTCCTTTCGATCGAGCTGTGATATCCATTTGACCCGGCCCTATAACTCCAACTTGGTGGCAGGTGATGCATCCTCCGATTGCTTCATCGCAGCAAGCTGCCACAGACGTCACACATGTCGAACCCTCGTGTGGGTTCCCAAACCAACAATGAAAATCTATTTCAAGAGATGGGCCGTTTCGACGAAGCGTTCGACGCCGCAGTCGATGCGCGGACCCCCAACGCCTTTTCGCTCTTCCAAACCCAAGTCTATGCTTGGATAGGAAATGGCGAGTTAACCTGTCGTATGACAGATGTTGAGGTTGCGCTGGCTCGGCTCGTCGAAGGATTCGGCGCGGGTGGTCGCGAGGTGACAATCCAACCAGCTCCGAAATTCCTGTGAGCTCAAATACTGGAGGCCATGTAGGTGCAAGCACTTTGTGAGGAATTCATCTTGTGGTGCAACTCAGCAGCCATGCGGGCGTTGAGCTTGGGTGTGCACACACGAATGTATCACCACCTGCGACTGAATATTTGTGCTCCCGTCCGTAGGCGTGTCTGAGGATGCTCTCGATTTACTCACGTTGGCCGACCAGCACACCACGCCCGGCAGTTGCCACTTGATTGACGACAGCGTCCGAAAACGCTTGCGCGGCATCACACTCAACAACTTTGCTTGCTACTTCAAAAAGTACCGAAGCAACCCCAACTTGCGTTGCAAATTCTCATGTTGGTGGACGCCGCAGGCATGGCAAACTACACACGGCGATTCAGTACTTGGAGAAAACGCTCAAGATTGAGTCGTCGATTGCTAACGTCGAAAACCCCGCAGGCACACACTTAAACATTTGCGCGATTTTGTCCCAAATGGGCAGGTTGACTGGTCGAAGAAGCCACGAGAGCTGGGACTAAAGGATGTGCGTAGGCATGTTCGAGCTGCGGAACATGCTCGGTGTGCAATCGAACTGCTCAAGTACGAACGGACGAAAGCGATGGCGGAGGAAGGTCCCGGGGCTGGTTCGAACAACAGGGTGAAAAGCGAGAATAGCGTGCTCGCTATTGCGTACTACAATTGGGGTGTCGAATTGGAGCATATGCGCCGGTTCGATCAAGCGATCAAGGCCTTCACAAAAGGTTCGGACTTGGATGTCACGAGGAGTCGAAACTTACATTGTTGCAGGACATGAAGTTGCGTGCAACGAGCTCATGTCTAACCATCCAATGATCCAAGCTATTTACAAGGCTCTGATCGAGCTCAAGGATTACGTTGCAATCAAGAAAGGTTACGCCCCGACCCCCCGCAGTACAGACCTTGACTAAACACCGCGGACAGCTCGGTGAAAAAGAGAGATCGCCCTGAGTAACTCGTCGAATAAAGTGAAAGTGAGAAAAGCTTCGCATTGCTCCTCACCACCTGTGGTAATTGCCAAATGCACTGCGACGATGGAAGGATAAGGACATTATAAACTAGCGAGCGGAGTCACTCATAGCCTTAGGTAGTGAACCATTGAGATAGATGCGAGATATCGATGCATACGTAATAAGCGTCAATTCCATGTGAAACCAATGGCACACAATCACCAACTTGATATTCAGTGTTGGACAACGCTGAGGAAAAGTGTGGCTACGTATTCCAGGCTGTAGTGACTGCGCTCACAAGCGGGAATCGCGCTCGGATCCTGATACACTGATCAGATGGGCCGCTTAAACTAAGTTGGGTTGTACTAGTCAAGGTTGTGTTTCAGCTAACTGTGGATATTCCGTGGGGCGACGTAGCTAGAAATCTTTAACGCCGTCGATCATCAAGCAAAAAGTCAACCTTGACAACCAGTTCGTACATTGCGCTGTGACCAGACGTCGTGGCGCGATGGAGCAAACGACTCGATCGTGTGGACAAGTGGAAGCCCCGTTTGTCGCACTGGTGTGGTCTCGTGGTAAGCGCGATGATTTCATGTAGTCGGGGGTGGCATGTAGATCCTCGGCTTGGATTTGTGAATAAAACACGGCACTGCACAGCGCACGAAGGCAGGCGTAAAATGGTAGGATCAACACAGTGTCGATCTTCACCGTGAAGAGTGGTTTGGAGATTGAATTGGCGGCTAGACATTTGCAACTTCAATAGGCGAGGCTGTGTAAGAGGAGGCTAGCATGCTCTCTGTACTTTGGATGATTTGACGTAGGCGCTGCTGGGGCTCGTCTGTGGACCAGCCGATTGGCCTGACACGTGATCTTTCATCCCTTCAATGTCATCGTGACAGGGCCGTTTACCAGCCCACGGTCCCCTACCGCAGCCCCTCTTGAAGCAACTCGATGATATCATCACCACTTTGCTACATGCAGAGAGAATTCTCGACGTGTAGATATCGACATCTGTCGAAACTCTTGTACACAGGGCCACCAAAACTTATGACTGAAATTTGATTTTTTCCCCTATCGCCATTATTTTCTTTTGGACATCCTCAGCAACGATGAAAGCGATCATCCATCGTTGGTGCGGTATCGCCGCCACCGTTGGAGCTAGTACGACTACGGTTCTAACGCTGACGAACGCTGAGATTTCCGTGCTTCCCAGAAGAAGTATAGAATGGAAGGCCGCGTTTCGAGAGTGGCCTTACTGCAATGTGCGCTCTACTCACATCAGGCCTCGAGTCCCTCGACAGGACGACGAATACCAGCGCATCCTCAACTCCAAGCTCACAGACTATGCTGCGCACCGGCAAACCCCAGGCCCAGTTATCCCTGAAAGAGTTTGAGTCGTCTGTGCAGCGCTCGTTCCACGTCAAAACACTGGCTTCGTTCGAGGCCGTGATGGATCGGCCCATTGAAGAGTCCAGGACAGTGCGAGTGATCTGGGCCTTTTTCCAAGGTCGCAAACGCCGAGTTTGCCCATTGCGTGGCCTAGAACAAACTGCTCGACTTGTCCGAAAAACAAGTCGTTCGCTGCGCCGTGCAGAGCTTGCGTAGTTGCGTCTCGAGTGGATATGTGACGATGTTTGTGTCGAAAGCATTGTACGTACAGTACAAGTCCGGCACGACATGCGACCCTCGGTCGTGCGACAAACAATGCCAGAAGAAGCCGCTTGACATTGGCAGCTCTTCCTTGGTGCATGGTGAAGCTGCCTTTGTTAGCGCGGCCGTCGTGGTTGTACAGTGCTGGCCATAAGAATAAGTGTTAGGGACACTTGTTTCCTCATCACTAAGAGCTCCGTTGTCGTTGGTTTGCAGCGCGAATAGAAGCATTGGATCGAATTGACAAGGACGATAGTGCGTAAATTTCCAAATTTTGAACTGGACAAAAGTGAAAGGTACAGTGAACCCCGGAAAAAGCCGACATGCTTTCATCCTGAAATGCATGGAAGCGGAATAAAATCGAATTTTTGAAATTACGCGGCTTAGTTCAAGTTGATTGGCTATAATCAGGAGAATTTATGTGCACCAATCAGAAGCGCTACAAATTTAACTACACCTCGGTATGAGGGTCTGACATTTGCGATTTGTGAAATTTTATGTTCTCCGGTTCTGAAAAACCCTAACCTCACATGCATTCCTTATCGACCTACACCACGACAATTTCGGGTTTTGGAATTGCCTTCTTGAATGCACTCTTGATGGCTTCCGGCGAAATTCTGTCCCATGCCGCAATTGAGCGCTTGATCATGGCCAATCGTTTCTCCGCAGCTGTAGTCACCGGCGTTTCCTCGAGCCAAAGAGTACGAAGCAGCTTCTTGAATGGACCCATGACGCCAACATCCAATGGCTGGCATACACTTGTGGAATTCGCAGGCAATGGTTCCAAAATGCTGTGAAGGTCTCCTAGTACAGCGAAATTAACAACAAAGTTAGCAGTGATATCAGCATCGAAAATATCAGAATTCCACGATCATCAGCGAAACTGGAACCAAAATCAGTT